TTTCTTTATATAATATATATATATATGACATAATAGTTCGCTATGACGACGTCCGCCATATACGTACCCGCCATAACGATATCACAGCAATACAAATATATCAATTATAGTTTCAAGGCAAAGAGTACTATTTGTTTAGGATTTAGATATACTAGTAATACTATTAATTACAAAAGAAATAACATAATAATTAAAAAAAAAAAATGAAAAATAAGTAAAAATAAAAAAATAAAAAATAAAAACACTACCTGTGTGGAGCGAACTCATCAGACTAAGGAAGCTGAATTCATCAGACTTCTTAGACCCTACCTGAACAGTACTGTTTCATAAATATTTCATAATGTTCTAACTACATGTTACGTTTAAGGTAGAGGTAGCAGAATACAGTAGAAATGGCCCGACTCTGATAAACAAGGCACATGTCGAGGAAATGTAAACACAGCGGATTTACCCTACACAACACATGTATACATGTATATATATTTGTAAACTGCATAACATTTACAATACATATAAAGCACTGAGAAGTGTATAAACCTCTTTTTTCTATGCATGTCACTTGTGTGAAAACCATGGTTACCACATCAAAAATTACCAAAAAATGCCAAAAAATGCTATTTTTAACCCAAAATTTGACCCCCGCAAGTAGTAATTTTTTTCCTAAGCTCTGTCTGAAATTAAAGATTACCTACCTGGTTGCAGAATTATCTGGGTCGCAGTAAAATTGTAGAACTTGATTTTTTGCAATTTTGCGTCGTGTGCTGTTGTCAAAATTTTACCTCCTGTAAAGCTAGCTTTTCATGTGTACGCACCCTTTCGTATTATGGCCAAAATTTTATTCTCGAACCAAAGAAATCTTCTTTCTTTTTTACAAATGTGAAGCTCACATAGCCCACTTCATCATGCTTATACCAATTTTAGTACAGTTTTATTTTTATATTTTTTTTACATATCATTATACAGGGGTTAGCCATTTAACAAAAATATCACCCATGGCCACAACCCTCTACTGTACTCTGCTACCTTATACATCACTTTTTTTTCCCCAAAATTTAATCAAAACCTTTTAAATGTCTGGAAAATGCGACAATGAACACAATGATGTATCCGTTTCCTTTCTCACTTTAATAGTGACCGAGTAATATGAATTCTCCTGAAAAGTGTATTTACCAATTCTGCTCTCAAACTACCAACAAAGGGAGGTAATCTGAAAAATGAAAACTTGAATAGGTTTGTAGTTTTCATGAATAAAATTTCTTTTTGGGTGAAATATGATGCCTTGAGATCATGTGCATGTAGAAAACAAACAGTACAGTGATACTATGATGTTACTGTCTTGTTTGATGACGTCATAGTAACTGTGATGTCATCATAACTATGACGTCATCAATGGGCATCTATGACATCATCGAGGATCACTGATATCAAAATATTGAACACTAGGAAACCCATCTCAACAACAAACTAGCAACAGACACACTTCCCGTAACCGATGAACAGCACAGAAATGTAAGATATTCTGAGAAATCAGACAAGTGCCACCATAGCAACCGTTATTTACTTTCCTCGCCTAGAATTGACAGTGACCCTCAGAAATTGTTCATTTAACATATTTCGCTAGAAAAAAAAGATTTTCTTCAGCTGTAATTATGGAAATAAAATTTATTGACATTACTGACTTTGCTTATTTCATCTGTATGCTGAATCAAGTGGAAAAAAACATCTAAAATAGTGTAATTAAAATGAAAACAGATATTTTACCCATTTTTACCCATTTTCAATAAATACAACTTTATGTATTAGTAACCATGGCTACCGGGTGCTGAACTGAGTGAAACAGACTGAAATCTAGTATGAATGCATCAGGAGATAGCCTGTGAACTATTTGATGTTTGGTATCAACTTTACCAATAACATAATTGACACATATGTGATGAATTGCAGAATTTCACAAGTGCCTGTGAAAGCGCGAGTTACCTCTCTTTATACATCCACAGGTAACAGGCTAATGACCTATATATAGACCTATCTATGTAACGGGTTTTTTGGCGTTTTTGAGTAGTTTTAAGTATTAATGAATGAAAGTGAAGCTGAATCAAGCATAAAAAGGGATTTTTTCAGAAAAAATCAAGTTCTATGTGTATATGGTAGCAGAATACAGTAGAAATGGCCCGACTCTGATAAACAAGGCACATGTCGAGGAAATGTAAACACAGCGGTTTTACCCTACACAACACATGTATACATGTATATATATTTGTAAACTGCATTACATTTACAATACATATAAAGCACTGAGAAGTGTATAAACCTCTTTTTTCTATGTATGTCACTTGTGTGAAAACCATGGTTACCACATCAAAAATTACCAAAAAATGCCAAAAAATGCTATTTTTAACCCAAAATTTGACCCCCGCAAGTAGTAATTTTTTTCCTAAGCTCTGTCTGAAATTAAAGATTACCTACCTGGTTGCAGAATTATCTGGGTCGCAGTAAAATTGTAAAACTTGATTTTTTGCAATTTTGCGTCGTGTGCTGTTGTCAAAATTTTACCTCCTGTAAAGCTAGCTTTTCATGTGTACGCACCCTTTCGTATTATGGCCAAAATTTTATTCTCGAACCAAAGAAATCTTCTTTCTTTTTTACAAATGTGAAGCTCACATAGCCCACTTCATCATGCTTATACCAATTTTAGTACAGTTTTATGTTTATATTTTTTTTACATATCATTATACAGGGGTTAGCCATTTACCAAAAATATCACTCATGGCCACAACCCTCTACTGTACTCAGCTACCAGAGAGTACTACACGAATTTCGATCAATGTGTTTCATCATTTTTATTTTTGTCTTTTGAAGAGTTATGTTTGTAAGGTAGTCACATCGGTAGTGTGCCGGATCAGTAATGTAATGTAAGTTCGATCCACACAGGTAGTGTTTTTATTTTTTATTTTTACTTATTTTTTATTTTTTATTATTATTATATTATTTCTTTTGTAAGCGGGTACGTATATGGCGGACGTCGTTATAGCGAACTATTATGTGACGCCATAGTTTATGACGTCAATACTTCAAATAAACAGTCTGCAGAATCTCCTAGAAGAGATGAAAGTACTAAAAACTCGTTATTAAGATTTTTTCTTTATATAATATTTATTCGTCCGTAAGGATCTTTTCTAATTTATATATATATATATATATTTATATATATGTGTGTGTGGTACAAAAAAAGCAGTAGGACCTTGGTGGGGCACAAAAAAAACAATATACAATATAAACATAACACAATTTGTCTAAATGTCAGATTATCCGACAAAAAAACACAATGTGTTATTTAAATTAACGTAATGCCTGACGGGAGAGATTGGAAATGGCGTCGCAGAACATATGAAAACTACTCACAACACCACGTTCAAAAAGCGATATTTTAAACTATTTTAGATATTACGAATATTTGCAGGAGAAAAAGATAAAGCGTTCAATATTGAAGCGGCAGAAATATTCTTTTATAATGCCCCAACGGAATACATTCCCTTCATTCAAAATCCCCGGGGGTGGGAATTTTAAAATTCCAATATGGCGGGTCAGTGCTATTCTTCTAACACCAGTTATTGTGACACGGTAATCGTATGGTAAGCTTACCTGTCCTTTGTACGGGATTCCGTGTATTTACGCAGATCGGTGGGAGCCGACACAGGGAGCAATGCAGAAATACGTCTGTCTTGCTCATTGTCAGATATCGCTCTGGAGTTCAACCGAAAGCCCCAGAATAACGACTATTGTTTGACCCGATCCGGACGGAGCGATCCGGAATGTCACATATATTAATCACAACAATATCATTAACCAACAGTTCTGTCTGTATATTTTATATGTACATCAGTCATATCATATATCAACATTTATATATGTCTATTTTATATGTACCATCAGTAATATCATATACCAACATTTATGTACGTATAATTGATTTGTACCATCAGTTATAACATACACCAACATATCTGTACGTATTTTTCATTTGTACCATCAGTGATATCATATACCAACATTTCTGTAGGTTTATTTTACATGTACATCAGTTATATCATAAACCAACATTTCTCTACATATATTGTATATGTACATCAATTATGTCGTATACCAACATTTCTGTACGTATATTGTATATGTACCATCAGTTATAACATATACCAACATTTCTGTACGTATATTGTATATGTACATCAGTTATGTCGTATACCAACAATTCTGTACGTGCATTTTATATGTACATCATTAATAGCATAGATGTATACCAACATATTTGTACGTATGTTTCATTTGTACCATCAGTAATATCATATACCAACAGATTTGTACGGATGTTTTATAAGTTCCATCAGTTATATCATATATGTTATGTCGTATACCAGCATTTCTGTACGTATATTTTATATGTACATCAGTAATATCGTATACTATCGTATACCAACATTTCTGTACGTATATTGTATATGTACCATCAGTTATATCGTATACCAACATTTCTGTACGTATATTTTATATGTACCATCAGTAATATTATATACCAACATTTCTGTATGTATAACTGATTTGTACCATCAGTTATATCATATACCAACAATTCTGTACGTGCATTTTATATGTACATCATTAATAGCATACATGTATACCAACATATCTGTACGTATGTTTTATATGTACCATCAGTTATATCATATACCAACAGATTTGTACGTATGTTTTATAAGTTCCATCAGTTATATCATATATGTTATATCGTATACCAGCATTTCTGTACGTATATTTTACATGTACATCAGTAATAGTATATACCAACATTTCTGTACGTATAATTGATTTGTTCCATCAGTCATATCATATACCAACAGATTTGTACGTATGTTTTATATGTTCCATCAGTTATATCATATACCAACATTTCTGTATGTATAATTTATATGTACCATCAGTAATATCATGTTTCCACATTTCAGGATCCATTGTGCCAAATATTCAATACAACTACCTACTGTAACGGATTGCCATCACTTTCCAGCCTCGTTGGAGTGATACCACTAACAATGTCACCAGTGTTTAATGGAACAGGACTGACAAGTCTTGGAGGAAGTTTCAGGAATAATCTTACAACCATCGTAGTGGGAACACAGATAGGAACCATCTTCAAGGTAACATATGTGTAAAAATATAGTTTCATTTCAAAAGTAGATAAAAAAAAAACTATGTAAAAGAACACATTGGTTTGAAACATAAGAAATAAACTAGATAAATAAATAAGTATCCATGTAGTAAGCAAGTAATACTGAAATATTCTTACATAATTCCACTATTTGTATGCACGTTGTATGTACATATGCATACAGAGTATGTGGAAAGTTGAGTACCCATACATACCTTTGTAACATGTGTCTTCTTTGTTGGTGGACACGGCATAATGGAAAAGGTGTGTGTTTTGTTTTTTGTTCGCCGATATATTTTAATTTATAATACATCATAATTACAAGCAGGTCTAGTCAATCAAGACATCATATAGGGAAAGAAACTGTTGAAGCATGTATTTCATCTACAAAAAGATGGTTCAAATATACATTAATGTCAAGTATGATAAGTCATATTATTATTTTTTCATATTATTCCCAATAAGTGATTGGTCAGGAATGCATCACGTGTCCACCGATAAAAACCGAGACTTTTGTTGAAGGACTGGGTATTTCAAAAAATTGCATTATGACGTCTCTCCAAACAATGCACCGTCCCGCTTCCGAAGTGTTTTTGTTGTGTTTGTTTTTCAGATTGCTTACATCACTGTTTTAAAAATAATATAACAATTGTAGCCTTTAACTTCGGTCGATGCCTGGATTTATCGACCCGAGAAAAAAAATATAAGACCTCGGACTGCGTCCTCTGTCAATATATCTTTTCTCGGGTCGATAAATCCAGGTATCGACCTCAGTCAAAGGCTATAATTGAATAGTATTATTGCTAATTATATAAAGTTCATCAATTTCAAACAGATTATTTTGATTTATATGATTAACTATTAATAAAACTGTATAGTTTAATAGTTCTTTCTAAGTTGCTCTAAAGAATCCCATCCAATTTCATTAAATATGATTTCATGACTTGTACCTTTTCGAAGCCCAGTGGCCATTTTAGTAGCACCTAGCAATAAGATTCAAGGGAATCTGATTCAGTCTGATTGCAGTTGATTTGGACGAATATATGATTTGTGTAAGATTTCCTATCAACTTTGTTTTAGAAATAATTAAATAACCATATACATCTTATACCATGTATTATCATGTATGCAATTCATGTGATCAGATCATGAGCTATGGCTGTTAAATACCCAGATGTTTTTTTGTTGTTTTTACGTTTATCACGGTATGTTTAATAATTGTGAGATCAGGATGCATTTCATCTACATTTAATTAATTTGATATCAGAGGAGCTTCCATTTTATTAGGATAAAATAAAAGACTCCATCTTTAAGCCGATATCGATATTCTACGGTGAGCGTTGTTGAAAATTAAGCAGCAGCATTGTTATCATTTTTATCCGGTCAAATAGTGACATAACAAAACTATTTAAAAATAAAAATAGAAATTAATATACTTCAAATAATTCGCGTTGTTTTCAAAACTCAAAATTGTACAAAATCAGGTCTGCTAACCAACTGTTACTGTTGATATTTTGTATGAGATAAACGGAGCCCGGGAAAGAGACATCGTGAAAACAGAAATGAACAAAATTTGTTTTTACTAATTCGTGACTCTGGTTTACTAATCAGTGATCTCATTTCACTAAACATAAACTACACGCGCAAATGTCAACGCTTTCAGCACCTTCTTCCTTGTTGGTTGCTTGCCTTTGTAATGGGGAAATAGATAAACTAAGATAACGGATCAGTAAATCGAGATCGCGGTTTACTAAATCAAAATTACTGATACCATATTCCTATCAAATTTTCACAATCAACTATTGCTATCAAATTACAATTTGTCACAAGCAACTATTGCTTTCAAATTGCAATTTGTCAAAAGCAACTATTGCTATTAAATTACAATTTGTCACTAACACTTAATGCTATCAAATTTTCAGATAGTATTTTTAAGCAACAAAGGTCGCAAACAACTATTGCTATCAAGTTACAATTTGTCACTAACACTTAATGCTATCAATTTTTTAGATAGTATTTTTAAGCAACAAAGGTCAATATCTTCAAACTGAAATGCTTTGATTCTCTATTGTCGTTGAAGATTTGTTCAATGGATTGTTTTTGACAAATATGAATCGTACATTTGTCTAACTAAACATTTACGATTAGTTGCAGATACTTTATAATACACAATAATTTTATCCTACACTTTTACCCTGTCAAAGGGTCGATTTTCATTTTTGATCCTTATCAATCTAAAAGGAAGGTTAAAAAAAAAATATGTTCCCAATCTTTGGTTTGATAAGATTGTTTTTTCTGTGATAATATATTGATTTGGTTGTGGAACATAAGTTGCTGTCATTATGTCAATGATTGTGAAAATTTGATAATCTCTCAGATAAACTAATTTAAATTACTACGGCATCCGTAATTAAATGTGGAATAGCATGCAAGTATGTTGTATTGTTTTAGAAACGATTTGACATATGTACATTTATGTTACCATAATATTTCGATATTAGTTATGAAGTGAAGAAAATACAATCATTATGTGCATGTATATGTTATATTAAATCTTTAGCTGTTCCTTAAATCGACCGTGGATGCTAGGCTGCTCGGAATGGTTCAGGAGGACAGGACCTGGAATAAACCAATACTTGACATTTTGACCTCCCCGTTACACCGGACATATCTTCTCACAGAGTTTAATGTAAGTATATATGGTAATAATGAACTAATAAAGGTTGCGACGTACTAATTAGGTTTTAATTCCTTATTATCTTACAGGTTTGTTTTAGATAAAATGAAAATCAAATATAATAAGAGTGATTCAACAGGAATATTTGCATTTTTTTTTTAAAGGATAAATAAATAAAATCGCGGCGTCGCTGCAGATATTTGTTTAAGCATATAAAGGGGAACAAGTAAAATACGACCGGGTGGTGAAATATTGAAAATGAGTGTGTAACGAAAGTAATCTCACCCGAAAGGCAAATTATGTTTCTATATGACGTACATGTACAATTGAGAAATGTATTCGAAATTTTAAATATTACAAAGATGATGTAAATTTAAGTGTGTAATCGGCAATGTAGGTTGTAGAGCTGCGAAGTCCAGATCATTGTGACACCAGTAGTTGTTCCGACTGTATGGACTTAGCTGATAGCAAGTGTGGCTGGTGTGTACTTGATGGAGGGGCGTAAGTAAATAACATTACTGATTAAGTAGTGTTACAGTGATTACCCTACCTCCAGTTTTACCCAAATTGTTAAGATCTTAAGCGAATCACCACTTATTTCCTATCGTTTGTTTCTAAGTTAGGAGGCATAAAGGATGCAACGAGCGCAACATAACACTTATCCGTTTTATCAGATGCTAGTATTACCTCACCAGTGGTCACCGCGTTACATAAACGATGACAATCGTACCGTTTTGTGTCCACGGTTTACAATAACGGAAACATGGGCGGTTGATACCTAACCAAGTTAATCTGGTGCAGGCGCTATGAATTAACCTGTTTTTGATGGTAAAGCGGTGATGTTGTTTACGTTAGCACGTATTTTGTGAATGTGACAAAACACTTACTTTTTGTTATCGATCATTGATTCATTTTATACAGATGTATGGAGAAAACTTCCTGTAGTGTCGGATCGTTCTGGCTGCCATCTGTGGAGGGGGAATGTTTGAGACTTTATACATTCCCACCAGGCATTAGACATCAGTTCACATCAACAACAACAAATGTTTGTATTGTAACTATACCCAGCAACGAAGTTGGAAGGGGGTGTTGGTGATGGGGTGGGGCTGTTGTATACCGGGATTTCTTGTTTGCCAAGAAAATCTGAGTAACATATATAAATGAAATTTGCTTAATTATGCAGTTACGCCCCTTTGTTCGCGCTTCAGTTTAAGTCTCCCAAAATCTACAAATGTACTGTTCTGATTTGAATAATCTTTCTTACCAGTAACACTTAAATTCAGGGAAAGTACATAGGGTATGTACATTTTGATTAAATGTGCACATCTCAAATTAAGGTAGTTTTGCCCCTGTGTTTAGAGTATGCATATCGTACTACTCCTTTAAGAGTACTAATGGAGTTATGACCATTTGTATGATTTTTTTTATATAAAACTTTACCTCCATTCTTGGCGCAATTGAGAGTATTAGCCAGCCATTCTGATGATAATACCAGTTAAGGATACTAATATGCTGTAGCGGCAATTACATTTTTAGTAGATCCTAGTAGCAATAATACTATTGTTTTGACTTATCAGCAAACAAATATCTTAATCAACATTACACTCATACTGATGGAAAAGACAAAAACAACTTTCAATTTCATATCATGGAAGTCATATTGAATAATGGTATACGGGACTAACCGTGGTGTAAAATTTAACACAAAATATCAAATTTTACTCGATTCCATATTTTGCTGATGGGCGGTTTTGACCGAATAAAATGCTTTATTTAGTTCGCCGGACATCCATATAATACAACTATACAATATAGCAAACCACCACCATTTTGTGTCTTCTCATTATATGCACGTTCTAAAAGACCAGTTAATATATTATTAATCCTTATAAAAGCGAACCAATATTTCCAGTTAGGTAAGAGTTCGTAAATAATTGAACACATAGGGAACTACAAACAATATCATTAAAAATACTGCGCTTTTCGTGGTATAATCCACTTAGCTAATGATGATTGCACATACTACATTGTATAGCCTCATTTTTATCTATTAACATTTCGAATACATTGGGACTGTGTTAAAAAGTTAAAGAGCTCATACTAGTTCATTACAACAAAAGTGTGCTTCAACAACCTATATTACATTCCTACAATGCCTCCCTCCCAGTATACAGTCCACTCTTTATACATGCAAGTGATACAGTTTACTTATATGTGAAATAATCCTACCCTGGTCGCATCCATAATACGATTGACTCTCCATACATTTCACATAGCCTCTCACGCGAGACACATTTCGTCCGGTTGACACTTCTAAAGTCTCTCCGCACAAATAATGTGTACTCAAAGTATGCCTTACATATATTACGTTGTTTTCTACAGGTATCTGTGATTCTTAGCCCTCCCGTCCCCATCAGTGGAGATGACTGGCAATGTCAATACGGCACCAATGAATGTAAGCCTGACGGAATACCATGCAAGTCAGATCTGATCATTTCAGGCTCAATGATGTTCTGTTCAATTGAAGCTAGAACAGGTACGTTTTGTAGCTTGATATTGTTTCTGTGTTTGTTCAGGTATACCGATATTTCCATACAAAACTAACTATTTGTAATTGACGCGCTACTTAAATCTCTATCTTTTTCGGAACGTGTGTCATGTAGATACTGTTCAGGTGTAATTTGCTATTTAATTTTACCGCAATGGTGAAATAGAAACATGTATAAAACAGAAGAAAATCTAAATAGTACCTTTATGTTAAAGCTGTTACTTAAGAAAATTGTTTTGTACATATATATACCCAACATGTGCTGAGGAAGAATTCATGGAATATTTTAGTTCCTAGCTTGCCAGCAGACTGGAATCATTTCTATGGGATCCCCCTCCCTCTCCCCCCGTTTTATGGCTGACCTTTGTGTGAGTGTGTGGGTGTGTTGGGGAGATGGGGGTATTTTAATGAAAAGCATATCAGGACTGGTAACAAATCGATCGTAGATATCTTTCTAAACTTGAAATGAAGAACATTGTATACAACAGAACGGCTTACTTCTCTGCTGTAAAATAAGACTGACGACATACATCCTCCAATTATATTGACAATGTAACCAGATATCCTCCAACCCCTATTGATAATGTGATCATACACCCAACCCCCTATTGCTAATGTGATCATACACCTTCAAACCCATATTGACAATATAACCATACACCTTCAAACCCATATTGAAAATGTTACCATACATCCGCAAACCATTATTGATAATGTGACCATACATCCTCAAACCCCTATTGATAATGTGACCATACATCCTCCAACCCATATTGACAATATAACCATACACCCTTTAACCCATATTGACAATATAACCATACACCCTGAAACTCATATTGAAAATGTTACCATACATCCTCAAACCCATATTGATAATGTGACCATACATCCTCAAACCCATATTGAAAATGTTACCATATATCCTCCAACCCCTATTGATAATGTGACCATACGTCCTGCAACCCCTATTGACAATATAACCATACACCCTCCAACCCATATTGAAAATGTTACCATACATCCCCAACCCGTACTGACAATCGTCGCTGTTGTGGTGTCAACATAAAATGATGACGTGTTTTTTTATCCAATTGTTCGCTTGTAACTTTATGAAATAGTTGTCACCTCGCTGTCAAACTATCATAAAAGTGGCGACAATATTTGATTTTACAATTTCAGCATTCCGTCAACATGTTAAATATGCAGATTTCAAAGTTATTCGCAAACGTGCTCCAACCTATGTGTTGGTTGAAGGATGGCACATTCTCTTCTACGACTGTACAGGATTTCAAACGTAAGTGTTCTACACTTTCCTCAAACGATTAATATTTACACAAATACGATGTGAGTGTATTATGATGTAAGTGTCTTAAATATTTAAATATGTACACCAAATATAATGTAAGTGTCCTACACCCTCTTCAATATGTATTATTATGTACACAAATATAACGTTGGTGTTTTACACCTTCCTCAATAGATCAATCTGTACACCAAATATAACGTAAATGTCCTAAACCTTCCTCCGTAGATCAATCTGTGCACCGAATATCAAATTTTATTATGTTGATCTCCTAGACAGATTTCCTTCAGTGTACATACCCTGGACCGTTTTTCTTTCCCAAAAGTGCGTTGCGTTTGCGTTGCGTTTGCATTCCGTTTTCGTTGCGTTTGCGTTGCATTTTCGTTGACCGTTTGATGTGCGTTTTAAATTTAGCGTTGAATGTGCGTTTAATATGCGTTTTGCTAGTGATGTAAGAAAATGATCGATGGCTATGTTCAGGTTATTTTAAGAATATGTGAGTGCTGAAATGTTTTTATATAAAAAAGAAATATATATGTATAATAATATTTGCGAATTAAAAATAAAATAAATATACAAATAAAATAGATCAATACATGAAATAATCGGTTGGAAGTTAAGCAATGACTTATATTTATATTCGAATATTTGGGCTGCGTCGTGTGCTGATTGATGGATGCATGTCTATATACGTACCTTAATTGGCCAGTAAAATTATCAGTAGAAATTAATTGAGTAATAAGTTATTTGTATATTCTAGATATTTAATTTTCATACTTATATCATTCTGTTCATATGAATAGATGAATCGAATTCAACTAAATCTACAAATGCTTCCATCACTGCACGCATGGGCTGATGGTTACGTGACGAAACACGGGTAGTCTGGATTGAAGAGAGGCTTATAATTAGTGCGTCTAAACGGCGAGTTTTATTTTATTAAATATTTGTAGTATTATCTCTATGTGTGTATGCTTTTTTCGTTAATTCTATTGTACATATTGTGGGTTTTGTTTACGTCCAGGTCGAAGTATGTAAGTCCTGCGCTCGACTCGAAATATGTATCGGGGATGCTTCCTGCGAGGTTCGATAGGTACAAGGCCCCTGCCAACATTGACAATAAATAGATTTTAATTACGCCATTGAAGATCATTGAGACCTAGCAATTTTACTACAGTAGATGTGTATTAGGTATTTCTTTAAGCTGTTTTAAGAGGACACATTATTATTAATTTTTAATATTTGATAAAACAGTAATGAGTATTCAAATAAGTGTTTAAAATATTAAAAAGACTAATAAAGAACGTGATTACGGTGAAACCACGAATGGTAAAAACCACCATAAATAAAAGAATAAAAAAAAATAAAAATAAAAAATAAAAAAAATAATAAATCAATAAAATGAAATAAAATAATTGAATTGAATACATAAAACAAATTACTTAATAAATCAGTAAAATAAAATAAAAATAAATAAAATGAATAAATAAAACAAATTAATTGATAAATCAATAATATGAAATAAAAATATTGAAATAAAATAACTAAATAAATGCAGGAGGGTATAGATGGTAAAGACAGTTTACATTTGTAGGTGATGTAGAAGGGTGTAGGTGGGAAAGGAAGTACAGGTGATGTAGGAGGATAGAGTTAATAAAGCTGATGTAGGAGGGTATAGGTGGTATAGGAAGTAGAGGTGGATAGGACGTATAGGTGGTGAAGGAGGGTATAGCTTGGAAAGGAAGTATAGGTGGTGGAGGAGGGTATAGGTGGAATATGAAGTAAATATGATGTAGGAGGGTATAGGTGGTATAGGAAGTAATTGTGATGTAGGAGGGTATAGGTGGTATAGGAGGTATAGGCGGTGTAGGGGGATATAGGTGGTATATGAAGTACAGGTGATGTAGGAGGATAGAGTTAATAAAGCTGATGTAGGAGGGTATATGTGGCATAGGAAGTATAAGTGGTAATGAAGTATACATTACGTTGGAGGGTAAAGGTGGTATAGGAAGTAGAGGTGGTATAGGACGTATAGGTGGTGTAGGAGGGTATAGGTGGTATAGGAAGTAAATGTGATGTTGGAGGGTATAGGTGGTATAGGTAGTATAGATGATGTAGAGGGATATAGGTGGTATATGAAGTACAGGTGATGTAGGAGGGTATAGGTGGTATAGGAAGTATAGATGGTATAGGAGGTATAGGCGGTGTAGGGGGATATAGGTGGTATATGAAGTACAGGTGATGTAGGAGGATATAGTTAATACAACTGATGTAGGAGGGTATATGTGGTATAGGAAGTATAGGTGGTATATGGAGTATAGATGACGTAGGAGGGTATAGGTGGTATAGGATGTATAGGTAGTATAGGACGTATATGTGGTGTAGGAGGGTATAGGTGGTATAGGAAGTAAATGTGATGTATGGTGGTATAGGTGGTATATGAAGTAAATATGATGTAGGAGAGTATATGTGGTATATGAAGTAAATGTGATGTTGGAGGGTTTAGGTGGTATAGGAAGTATAGATGATGCAGGGGATATAGGTGGTATATGAAGTACAGGTGATGTAGGAGGGTATAGTTAATAAATCTGATGTAGGATGGTATATGTGGTATAGGAAGTATATGTGGTATAGGAAGTATAGATGACGTAGTCGGGTATAGATGGAATAGGAAGTAAATGTGATGTAGGAGGGCAAAGGGGGTATAGGAAGTAAAGGTGATATAGGAGAGCAAATGAGGTATAGGACGTATAGGTGATGTATGAGGGTATAGGTGGTATATGACGTGTAGGTGATGTGGGAGGGTATATGTGATATAGGAAGTAAAGGTGACGTAGGAGGGTATATGTGGCATATGCCGTATAGGTGATAAAAGAAGGTATAGATTGTTTAGGAAGTATTGATGATGAAGAAGGGTATAGGTGGCATATGACGTATAGTTACTGTAGGGGGTATAGGTGATATAGGAAGTATAGGTGATATAGGAGGGTATAGGTGGTAAAGGAAGTAATGGCTTATATATTTCTAGAAATAGTATATAAAATAACCATGTTTCAATCCGCTGAGGTATAGAAAAGATATAGAGAATATCGAAGTATAATTCGAATTCGACATCGATAACTAGAGAAAAATATGAACCTGAGGAATATTAGCAGAGACTTTTTTGTTGTTTAACTTGACGTAACTTGACTTGATTCAGTCCGAATGTGTCCACAAAATTGGAAATCTGGAATGGTGATCCTGTCCCTGATTAGCAAGTATGTGGAAGGTCCCGGAAAGGATTGGAAACAATTCATTGCATTAAATCTTCCTATATAGCTTGTACTTATTTTGAAATAGTGTATATCTGCTATATTGTATTCCATAAAGTTTCATTGGACGTGTCCAGTACAAAAACAAGTTTCTTTGAATAAAAACTGCAAATGTCTCGTGATTTAGCCGTTGCTGTTTTACGTTAAGTGACACAGATTTAGTTACAAATATAGACATGATTTGATTGTTAATTTTACAAATGCCTTTTATATACTGTTTTCGGGGTGACCCACCCCAGCAGTGTTTCATTCCTCCAACCCTTTCTCACACACGTACATAGTACTTCAGTATACCTTAGATGAAAAGAATATCATACATCACCACAAGCTACAAGTTGGCTTACAACGATGGCATCTGAGCGAAACTGAGCGAAACTCTCGTGTATATGGGGGATCTTAAACAATCGCTACAACTAACGGAGCGGTCCGTCATGCTTTTGATCAAACATGGAGGTCCCGTTCGTTAGACTTTGTCCATTCAAATTGACGTGGATGACAAATTTCATTTTGGATTAAAATGCCCCCATCAACAAGTCAAGAGGCAGAGACGCAAATGATAATTTCAGCAAAATCACAATCTAAATCCTAACGTGTCAAGTCATCTTATATCAAATCATTTTTGCTTTTTTAGCTGGATATGTAAACCAGAACAGACCGGTGTGTTAATTACGACGACCATGATCGCTATCAGGGGTGGCCTTATTTCAGCGGGGTTGCACTTCCTCTCACCGGTACTTCACGTTTAGCCCCCTGGGCATCCCCATTTCAGTAAAGCCAGATCACACGCATGTACGTACTGGTTGGTCGTCTACTGAAAGGCCGCAAGGCCGTACGTATAATATCGGACTTAAAACCATCAAAATCAATCTGTATTGGCTATTATTAAGATTCAGCTACCGTTTTTTGTCAGCACGTCAGACCAGAAACGTAAACGTCTCTGATCAGACACTTTGTGAAAAAAAGTTTTGTTTTAAAAAATAAACATCAGGCGGTTCAAACAGAGGAGTATAAAACCAGTATATACGCAGTACATATACACTATAGTATAGTAGCTCGGTAGTGAAGCGGACGTAAAATCTATCAATCAATCAATCAATCAATTAAAGTATAGTATATATGTCTCTGGTTAAAGGATTTTAAAAGGGGGCGGCCGGGGTCGATTTTGGAAGTGATCTCTTCTGTGTTGTGGTCCTTACGCCAAAGGTACGAACCTTTTTTATGTGGCTCTAGAAGTAAGTTGAAGAATCTCGTCGGTATCACCCGGGACAGATTTTGAGTACAATATATTGTTTAGGTTTCAGTGTTAATTGTTTTTTAATATATTAAGCATAATTTGTACAATGGAATCATAGTTAATTTGATGCTAATAATTATTTCACTATGATTAACAATACAGTAAAACCTCACTCAGGACATTAAGTCGAGTTGACATTTCCTGTTATCTGCAATATACTATTGATGAAATATAGACAACCCGAAACTTTTGGACCCCACCGTTGTTTGCGTCTCTGCCTCTAGACTCGTTGATGGGGACATTTTAATCCAAAATGAAATTCGTCATCCACGTCAATTTGAATGGACAAAGTCTAACGAACGGGACCTCCATGTTTGATCAAAAGCAGGACGGACCGCTCCGTTAGTTGTAGCGATTGTTTAAGATCCCCCATATACACGAGAGTTTCGCTCAGTTTCGCTCAGATGCCATCGTTGTAAGCTAACTTGTAGCTTGTGGTGATGGATGATATTCTTTTCATCTAAGGTATACTGAATTACTATGTACGTGTGTGAGAAAGGGTTGGAGGAATGAAACACTGCTGGGGTGGGTCACCCCGAATACAGTTTATAAAAGGCGTTTGTAAAAAATACAATCAAATCATCTCTATATTTGTAACTAAATCTGTGTCGCTTAACGTAAAACAGCAACGGCTAAATCACGAGACATTTGCAGTTTTGATACAAATACATTCTTATATTTCGATTTCTATTCGCAGACAATATTCCCCATGATGTTATTTTCTTGTAAGACACAATAATACGTATTTTATTGTGTATTATATGGTAAACTAGTAATCGTGCAAAATAATCAGAAACAACTTGAATACTATAACAAATAGCACCTCCATACCTGAGGCACGTGTGAACGGCGTGGCTGTTGGTTTGTGTACTGGACACGTCCAATGAAACCAGTATGTACCCTTTATGGAATACAATATAGCAGATATACACTATTTCAAAATAAGTACAAGCTATATTGGAAGATTAAATGCAATGAATTGTTTCCAATCCTTTCCGGGACTTACCACATAACTGCTAAACAGGGGCAGGATCACCATTCCAGATTTCCAATTTTGTTGACACATTCGGACTGAATCAAGTCAAGTTACGTCAAGTTAAACAACACAAAATGTCTCTGCTAATATTCCTCAGGTTCATATTTTTCTCTAGTTATCGATGCCGAATTCGAAATATACTTCGATATTCTTTATATCTTTTCTATACGTCAGCGGATTGAAACATGGTTATTTTATATAATACTTCTAGAAATATTTAAGCCATTACTTCCTTTACCACCTATACCCTCCTATATCACTTATACTTCCTATATCACCTATACCCCTACAGTAACTATACGTCCTATGCCACCTATACCTTTCCTCATCATCTATACTTCCTAAACCACCTATACCTTTCTTTATCACCTATACGGCATATACCACCTATACCCTCCTATATCACCTTTACTTCCTATATCACATATACCCTCCCACATCACCTACACGTCTTATACCACCTATACCCTCATACATCACCTATACGTCCTATACCTCCTTTTCTCTCCTACATCACCTTTACTTCCTATACCCCCTTTGCCCTCCTACATCAGATTTACTTCCTATTCCATCTATACTCTCCTACATCATCTATACTCCCTATACCACCTTACTTCCTATACCACCTGGACCCTCCTACGTCATCTATACTTCCTATAACACATATACCCTCCTACAAAAACTTTATTTTATTTATCTACCCTTTATGGAATAACTTCATATACCATCTATATCCCCCTACATCACCTATACTTCCTATACCCCCTATACCCTCCTACATCACTTTTACTTCCTATACCACCTATACCCTCCTACATCATATTTACTTCATATTCCACATATACCTTCCTACACCACCTATACTTCCTTTACCACATACACCCCTCTACATCACCTACACATGTAAACTGTCTTTACTATATATACCCTCCTGCATTTATTTAGTTATTTTATTTAAATAATTATGTTAATTTATTTTATTTCAATATTTTTATTTCATATTATTGATTTATTAATTAATTTGTTTTATTTATTCATTTTATTATTTTTTATTTCATTTTATTGATTTATTAATCAATTTGTTTTATTTATTCAATTCAATTATTTTTATTTCATTTTATTGATTTATTAAAAAAATTGTTTTATTTATTCAATTTTATTATTTATTGAATTTTTTTTTCATTTGTGGCGGTTTTTGCCATTCGTGTAATCACGTTCTCTATTAGTCTTTTCAATATTTCAAATACTTATTTAAAAACTTATCACTCTTTTATTAAATATTAAAAATTAATAATAATGTGTCCTCTTAAAACAGCTTAAAGAAATACCTTATACACAACTACTGTAGTAAAATTTCTAGGTCTCAATGATTTTCAATGGCGTAATTAAAATCTATTTATGGTCAATGTTGGCAGGGGCCTTGTAACTCTCGAACCTCGCAGGAAGCAACCCCGATACATATTGCGAGTCGAGCTCAGGACTTACATACTTCGACCTGGATGTAAACAAAACCCACAATATGGACAATAGAATTAACGAAAAAAGCATACACACCTAGAGATAATACTACAAATATTTTATAAAATAAAACTCGCCGTTTAGATGCACTAATTATAAGCCTCTCTTCAATCTCGACTACCCGTGTGTCGTCACGAAACCATCAGCCCATGCGTGCAGTGATGGAAGTATTTGTAGATTTAGTTGAATTCGATTCATCTATTCATATGAACAGAATGATATAAGTATGAAAATTAAATATCTAGAATATACAAATAACTAATTACTCAATTATTTTCTACTTATAACTTTACTGGCCAATTAAGGTACGTGTATAGATCTAGACATGCATCAATCATTCAGCACACGACGCAGCCCAAATATTCGAATATAAATATAAGTCATTGCTTAACCTCCAACCGATTATTTCATGTATTTTTCTATTTCATTTGTGTATTTTTTTAATTTTTAGTTTGCAAACTTTATTATACATTTTTATATAAAATCATTTCAGAACTCATATATTCTTAAAATAACCTGTAAATAGCCATCGATCGTTTTCTTAAATAACCAGGATATTCAACGCACATTCAACGCTAAATTTGAAACGCACATCAAACGGTCAACGCAAACGCAGCGGAAACGCAAAGGAAACGCAACGCAAACGCAACGGAAACTCAACGCAAACGCAACGCAAACGCAACGCAAAGGAAACGCAACGCACTTTTGGTAACGAAAACGGTCCAGGGTCTGTAGTCTAATGTTTAAAACACTAAATATTTCTTTCAACCAGAATATTTCAAAAACGGTTGAAAGCATTTACATTATATTTGATATAATGTAGAGGATTCCAAGACACATGTTTTTCAAACTGGTTCAAAGGTCAACTCTTTGCGTGTTGTAGGGTCAATGTTTAAATGTGCTATTTCAAGGTAAAATCTTTGAGTAACCTTTTTCAAGTTTTACGAGATATCGGATCTTAATATTTAAGCAGTAACATGCTCAGGTGATTGGCTATGAATTTTTAAAAAGTGATAGACCTTTATCAGTTCTCAGAGTCAAAGGGGTCAAAAATGTTGAAATATTTTAACAACAATTCCAGAATAAGGCAAAGGATTAGGTCCATGATATTTGGCAAAGAGCAATCTTGAACTTAGGGCTTTAACATGGTTCCAATGAACGACCTTTAATATGACTTCAACAATTACTGTCAAAATTGATCTTCAATTTTTTACAGTTTTGGAATGGTATCAGTAGTTTTAGTACTTTGATTTATATTAAACGAAAAACAACTCACTTTCAGTACTATGGCTTATAATAATAAATAAACTCCTTTTCTTCATAAAGGGTAAATACCATGCGATATTAAAATAGGGTTTGTGATCAAAGACCTAATCAGTCCAAACAGTGAAAAGTGCGTCAAATTGTTAGAATTGAATAGTTTCTAAGGTTTTTTATGAGATTATTCTTACGTACACGTATTCAAAATTAAAATGCTTCGGTTCAGTGTTCGGTTATTCCTTTTTGGTCTTGCGTTTATATCGTGTTATAGTCGTTTATATAATAACTTATTGTTTCTGTTTCTCACATACATCATTAGCAAACATTAATATACAATTATTTTAGGTGTTATGAGTGTCTGACCAATCCTAAAGCCATCTTCTGTTTCTGGGACCCTGTAGCGGCTTCATGCACGAATACGTATAATGTGAGAAGCTACTACAAGTACAGCGTAAGTCAATAGAGCATTTATCTTATGGTTATACAAATATTACCTCCGTTGAATATTACTCGTATTCGATTTGCATGCAAATAACTGATTTGTAGGTCGATTAAAATAAATCGGATGGTTGGTTTTCTCATTAGGAACAGATGTCATTCCTTTTGTGACAGATATCTTTTACCAAGACTGTTTAAATAAAAGGTGGAATACATTAAAAAGAAATCGGTACTAATAGGCAAATGACAAGTATATGTACTTCAACTTAAGCATGCTATTTTTAAAACGTGACAATGTAAATAAAATGTCCATTATCGTATGTATACATTTTTTCAGGAGTCTTCAAGATGTCCTTCCATAACTGAAAGCAAGTTTGTCGTAATACCGAATAATGAAACAGCTGATGTCGTGATATCGGGACATAACCTACCGTCTAACGTATCTGACCAGGTAATCAACAGAAAGGGTTAGTACTACACATATTAACATGTTACTCTGTTAGACACTTTGAAATTGTACTGATTACTCAAATCGAAGGTTATACCGAAGTCTAAAAAAAAATGGAAATCGAACTGATGACTAAGGGTTATCTATTAACAAATGTCAACTTACTGGTGTGGACATCGATGCTATTGTAAAATCGCTTTATTGATATATCTTTATGCTGTATTTGTTACCTTTTCAGTACCGGTGTTATATAAACGGGCAGACTTTCAATGTTAGCACTGTGAATTCAACGTCAATCACGTGTTTGGAAGTGAAGGTAGGATGTGCCTTAGTAATAGTGATTTCATACAATATAGATTATAAACTGTATATAATGCAAAATCTAAGACACAATGTAATTGTTTCAGGATATGTAATAAGAATAAAGATTATATTCTATATAATATTGTGCATTGGGTATAGTTTATTTTATTAATTATATGTGATGAATGATACAGAGCATGTAATACAATACATGTGGTAAAGTATGTTTGATAATTTGTATAATAAATATACTGATAGAGTAATATAGTGTAGGTAATATATAAGTATCATTGATATAGTGTATGTGGTAAAGTGTTTGTGATACAGTGTAAATACATTGATATACTCTCTCGTTACAGATATCCTATTCTAGGCAGACGCGAAAAGAGGATATTCCCGTACACATACATTATAGGGGTGTGCTGATAGATAGCCATGGAAATGTTACAGCCACAGGTTGTATACATTAAATACAATCGTTCTGTTTCAGTACAATTTAGAATCTGATTAATCGAATGCCATAAAATCGAATGAGTACGAAAGAAGGGTAGATAAATCACTTCCGTATCACGTATAACTGTGTACAATGTATCATTGCTATACGGAACTATGAACACTGTACAATATATCAATCACGGCTATACAGAACTATATACAATGTATTAAGACTATACAAAAATATGTACAATCTATCAGGGCTAAACGTAAATACTTACAATAAATTATTGCTATACGGAACTATGTACCGTGTATAAAAATATTCACAACGATTTACATTGTATCATGGCTATACTGAACTACTTACAAGTTGTCACGGCTATACGGAACTATGTACAATGTATCATTGATGTACGGAACTCTGTACAATGTATCATTGATGTACGGATTTATGTACAATGTATCATTGATATACGGAACTATGTACAATGTATCATTGATATACGGAACTTTGTACGATGTATCATTGATATACGGAACTTTGTACAATGTATCAATGATATACGGAACTATGTACAATGTATCATTGATATACGGATTTATGTACAATGTATCATTGATATACGGATGTATGTACAATGTATCATTGTTATACGGAACTATGTACAATGTATCATTGATATACGGATTTATGTACAATGTATCATTGATATACGGAACTATGTGCAATGTATCGTTGATACACGGAATTATGAACAATGTATCATTGATATACGGAACTATGAACAATGTATCATTTATATACGGAACTATGTACAATGTATTAATGATATACGGAACTATGTACAATGTACCATTGATATACGGAACTATGTGTAATGTATCATTGATATACGGAACTATGTACAGTGTATCATTGATATACGGAACTATGTACAATGTATCATGGATATACGGAACTGTGTACAATGTATCATTGATATACGGAACTATGTCCAATGTATCATTGATATACGGAACTTTGTACAATGTATCAATGATATACGGAACTATGTACAATGTATCATTGATATACGGATCTATGTACACTGTACCATTGATATACGGAACTATGTGTAATGTATCATTGATATACGGAACTATGAACAATGTATCATTGATATACGGAACTATGTACAATGTATTAATGATATACGGAACTATGTACACTGTACCATTGATATACGGAACTATGTGTAATGTATCATTGATATACAGAACTATGAACAATGTATCATTGATATACGGAACTATGTACAATGTAACATTGATATACGGAACTATGTACAATGTATCATTGATATACGGAACTTTGTACAATGTATCATTGATATACGGAACTTTGTACAATCTATCAATGATATACGGAACTATGTACAATGTATCATTAATACACGGAATTATGAACAATGTATCATTGATATACGGAGCTATGAAGCCTGTACAATATATCAATCACGGATATACGGAACTATGTACAATATCAAGACTATGCTGTTATTCCAATGATTATAAACCTGTGTGTTGTTGTTCCAGCGCAAAATACAGTAAACCTGTGTGTTTTTGTTTCATTGTAAAAGTACAGTAAACATGTGTGTTTTTGTTCCAGTGTAAAATACAGTTAACCTGTGTGTTGTTATTCCAGTACGTAATTACAGTACACCTGTGTGTTGTTGTTCATGTGTACATGTAATTACAGTAAACCTTGTGTTGTTCCAGTGTAAAATACAGTTAATCTGTGTGTTGTTGTTCTATTGTACAATTACAGTACAACTGTGTGTTGTTGTTCCAGTGTAAAATTACAGTACACATGTTTGCTGTTGTTCCAGTGTGTAATCACAGTACACCTGTATGTTGTTCCAGTGTAAATTACAGTAAATATGTGTGTTGTTGTTCTATTGTACAATTTCAGTGTTGTTCCAGTGTAAAATTACAGTACACCTGTGTGTTGTTGTTCTATTGCACAATTACAGTACACCTGCGTGTTGTTGTTCCATTGTAAAATTACAGTACATCTGTTCGTGTTGTCCTAGTGTGTAATTACAGTAAACCTGTGTGTTGTTCCAGTGTAAAATACAGTAAATATGTGTGTTGTTGTTCTATTGCACAATTACAGTACACCTGCGTGTTGTTGTTCCATTGTAAAATTACAGTACACATGTGTGTTGTTATTTGAGTGTAAAATATAGTACACCTGTGTGTTGTTGTCAAAGTGTGAAATACAGTACACCTGTGTGTTGTTGTTCCAGTATAAAATTACAGTACACCTGTGTGTTGTTGTTCTAGTGTAAAATATAGTGCATATGTGTGTTGTTGTTCCAATATTAAATTACAGTACACCTGTGTGTAGATTTCCAGTATAAACTTATAGTACACCTGTGTGTTGTTGTTCCAGTATACAAGTGTGAGTTTCTCGCTGACAGCTGCTACTTATGTTATTACCTTCGTACGATGGGATACCTCTGTAGTTGGAGCCAAGTACGACAACTCTGCGAGTATATGTCAACCATCAACATACAACAATGCCCTCCGCCCATTGTATCTTCGGTAAATATATATTATCTTTCCTATAAACACGATGTAAATATGCAATGTAACTTTTTTGTAATTCCAATAACAATTCACATATTTAATAGTATGTTGTTGTGGTTTTTAGGTTTTTCCAAGCAGCGGCCCAGTCAGCGGGGGTACTATACTTACTATTGAAGGAACAGACTTTGGTGGTACGCCCGGTGATATTGACAGCATTTTCATTTCGAACATCCCTTGTTTGATAGTTAATTCTACATTTCATCCAACAAGGTATTTGGGGGAAAATGCATGTGTAAATTAAAATGAAATGATAATATGGTTAATTGTGTTATGTGAATACGTTGCATGATATCAATGTCATGGCGCTATGTTTACATGTACTTAATTCACTTACATTACATTAATATTGCGTTATAAAGTTCAATTTATTAAAATGGCTGATTTCATACGGGTACTACTGTTATAAGAGTATAAGTACTAAACGATCTTTTGGCAACCCAGCCTCAAGTTTGTGTTATCATATTAATGATAACTTTTAATGACTGATTACAATGGTTGATTTGATATTGGTATTACTGTTATATATTTATAATTACGTGCGGTGGTTTTTTTGGAAACCGATCTTTATGTTTGTATTTGCAATTACTTTGTGTGTATGTGTTTTACAAAGTACAACAAGGTTAGCTAAAAAAGAAATTGTTACGATTGCATCTAAATAGTATCGATGTGTTTTTCAAAGTAATTATAACTTTTTGAAAGAATTCACAATCCTACATAACCAAATGGTCTGGTTTCAATGGTACACTGTAGAGTGTTATAACAGTCACACAAATTGACAAGGAGTTATGATAACTATGATACGTTGGTACTCTCCTGACGATTAAATGAGTATACAGATTGTTACATATTATTTTTATAAAGTCATGACTGATTGATAGCGTGATTCTTTTGTTGTACTGTTATAGTGTAAAATGCCGAACAGTGGGGACCTCTAAGGAACAACTTGGTGCCAGAATTGTTATCAAGGTCAAAGGCAAGGATTCCACAAATGTCATCACCTTTAACTACGTGGTAAGGTTTCTCGCCTGTTTGTCTTTATATGCATTATTTCTTAAGAGCAGATAGGAAAAACTTGATACATTAATACGTTTTAGTGAGGTGACTAGAACTTTAGTTCAAACTGACTTCATACGTCGGAGGTGTGCGGAAGCTTAAGTCAATGTGGTGCACACGTATATACAGTCAAACCTGTGCATGCGACTAGCACTTTTACTAGGAGACCACCTGTGTTTAGAGGTGACTTTTAACATTCCTCTTTATAGTGATTTCATCGTGACCTGAACCATCGAACAAATGTACAAGTAGTTAAACGCTCCCCAACAAAAAGTGACAACACTGTGTTGCAACTTTAAACAAGACTTCACTCCGCTTGTTCCAGTCTACTCAGCTGTAAATAAGTACGTGGTTGGGCAGTGCTAGAACTGTTGATTGCTAGCTGTTAGCGCCGAAATGACAGCACAGACTGCATGCTTGCCAGGGAGTTGAGAAACATATCGGTTGGTTGCAAAGGCCCTATAACCGTGTATAATATTTGGTAAACCGCTTTAGGACAAACTACGAACTAAAGTGTGTGGTATTAAGCGGTAAATAAGACCTCCAGTTATTATTCTTATTATTATGGGATTAAATCAATCGGTACTAAACACTGGCTTAACCAGACAGAAGTGAAACACACATCACAGTTTCCTTTTTACCCATCTAATTAATTTTCTCAGTTTTATTAATTTTTAAATGAATTTTCCACATCATGTTTTGCATGTGCATATTCTGTTCAATCGAGCGTTTTGCTTAGATTCTAAAAATTGTGAACATTTGCTCAATACCGAAAATGCCAATAGCATGACTTATCCTTGGGCCGAATTGGCACGGCTTCCCGTATGTGATTAAAGAAAGAAACTCAAAAAATCAAGCAAAGAAAACTAACTTCAGAGCTCTTTACCCCTTAACAGTCCAAAAAGAACCTTTACTGCAATCTAGATCTTTGTATCCCAATCTTAGGGTCGCCGACGCCCGTACACTACCTCGATTAGGTCCAGGACCAGTAATTATAAGCAAAATGTAATTAAGTTTTCTAAGGTGGGTCTGTAAAAGGCTCTTGATTCAGGTTAGACTATACACATCCATCCTTTTACTGAGGCTTTTGATAATCCAACACGGTGAATGGCGAACTTCATATACAATATGTGATTGTGACGACGGATTTTACTCATGTAACGATATTTTTAATACAGGAACCTGTGCTTTACAACTTTTACCCGACGTATGGAATCAGGGCTGGTGGCAGATTATTGACGTTAAAGGGCAGTAACCTACTATCTGGAGACCAGAACCGTATGAAGGTGGAGTTATATCATACCAAACAAACATCAGTACCAGTGCTGTGCGCATTGTGAGTAGCTTATCTGACTTAACAACAAAAATAGCAACCAAGAATTGCGCATTGCGAGAAGTTTGTGACTTGACGGCAAAATATATTCTCGCCCTCAGACAGAGATATTCCACGTCATACCCCGTGCTAGATTTTTCTATCTTTACGGATGGCAGTTTATTTGACTTGAAGTCAAACATCAACACTGGTTTTGATCACGGTGTATATAGTCCCCGTGAATTAATGAATGAGAAAAAAAAAATAAGTACATTCATTTCCAAATGGTCCTCTGATTAAGTGGCCTAGCCATGTTAAATGGTAACGTGGCGCATTAACAGCCTTAATTAGACATAAATAGGTATAAGAAAAGAAAAAAACAGAAAGCCACATGATATCAAGCAATTGTTACGTGCATCGAATTATTTACTTTACGGTGTACATGTGATATTAATTATTGGTTATCGTATTTCAGAACGGCAGTACAGCCGAATGTCAACAATGTCGTGTGCAGAGTCGATCCTTACAGAGGTGTTCAGCTTCCTTTTTCCTTTGATGGGGTGAATGTTACTTATGATGGTGGAGCGTTGACTACCTCAATGGGAAACATAAATTTCACTTTTGTCGACAACCCGAGTATAACCATTTACTCACAGGATATATCTGCGTAAGTAGTTGTTTGTGATATTCATATATTATGTTGAATTAAACCTACTGTTTGTATCCCAATACTTTAATGCGGTTAAGTATCACACTATGTAGCGTATCCTCGCAAACGTTCTGCATTTTAAATATAATTTTGTACATTAATTCCCATAATAGTGGTATTCCATTTGAATCACAATATCAAACATAGTTATTCATGCACATTTGATATAAAAAAATCTAATTTTAAGAACAAACTATTAATCAATTTATTAGGTTTTAACTTTTTTTCTATTTTCGACATACAGTTTAGAACATTTTCGACATTTATTTCAATGTTTTGACGATGGGTACCAGTGATTAGTTTATAAAGATGAAAATGACACTTGGTGTTGATATTGGTTTTACCTTGTTTATTTTTCTATATTGACATGTTTTATATACCAGAATCTTTACTTCATATATCTAGTGATTACATAACATATCATCCTTACAATAACAAGTGAACAAAAATAATTAATGTTGTACAAGATGTCTATTACTGATCACCCTCAAAATAAACGATTCTGACAATAACGTTAAAATGTTAAATATTCTCATTTGAATTACGGTAAATATATATTTGTATAGTGTTACAACGACAGACTAAAAGGGCCGATGCAGGTAATGCTACAAAATTATATAGTATTGTATATTTATCTCATTATTCATATATGTCAACAGGGAAGGAGTGGAAATGACTGTAACAGGGACACAATTAAGTGCGATATCCGATATAAAAATAGGACAGGTATGTGCCGTTTATAACTAAGTTAATATTTGATTACAAAATCCGACCAAAAATTGTCAGTAAATGTTTTGAGACACTCCCCGATAAAAAGAAAGTCCATTGTTTGCAATTGTTGTTCCATTTAATATTGGCAAACTCGCAGTCAGTGGGAAAATGAAGTGTTTCAGTATTATCGTTACGTGGACGAAAGTAACAATACAATGCCAAGAAGTGATATGTTGTCTGGCTAGGGATACACATTTCTCACATACAAATTGTTGTTATCTCGTTTGGAAAGTGGCAAGGTAATAATATTTATACTTACCCATAATGAAATTTAAATTATACAGTACTCGTAAAATTAAAGTTATGTTTGCACCTCTACTTTCGTTTCAATATTACATAATATAGTTAGGGTTTGGAAGCGTTTTAGACCATTGCATCTTTGAAGAATGGACCAGCTTTATGCTACAGTGTCATTAATGTTTAGCATACTGTATCTAATACCAAATGTTAACGATACAATCACCTGTATATGTCTTTTGTTCATTTCCCACTTCAATCAATCGCAGAAAGCATCGTAATGTTCTTATATGTGACTCATTGATTTGATAATGGACAAATGCAAGGCGATGTACATTGTATTCACGGCATAGCATGATAGTTGTTTGGACAGATTGGATCACATTGAATCAGTCAGAATGACTTGATTTGTTTTCGTTAGATTTAATATCGCGTAGATAGACCTGCAGATACATTTCTGTTTCAGTCTGTCTGTCAAGTCTTGAACGACACGATGCTAACTTGTCCAGTCATCCTAAGTGTTGCGTCTGTGGAAGGCAGTGGTTCGTGTGAGCAGGACCAGACTCTGTCTTTGGACAACTACAACTACCAATTCCAAGTAATAACAACACAAAACACCGCAAGGAATAATACTGGAACCAAACGTTTGACCACCATAAAGGTATCGATACATCAAAATTCCACGACTCGTTATGTGTAAGAATGTTTAATTGATACGTAAAGATACACTACATATTTGCAAGAGACGTTTATCAAAGGTTCATACGTTAACATGTTTTGTTATTTGCATTTGCTTTACTTTGTAACTTTGTTCGTGATGTAGATAATAAGATGCTGTGGTGATACAGGAGTGTTTAATATATTTAAACTACATTCTTTTGATAACTTAATCTATCATACTGAATTATTCTGCAGACATCGTGCTTCACAAGGGCTGCTGTCTCCGCCGAAGGCTTGCAGGTTTTCACGGGATGTGCCAAATACGTAACTTGTATCGGGAAATACAAAATATCAAATACCGAGTTTTGCTATGGCAGTACTCACCAATACCCGCTCTGTTGTATAGCTAGCTACTGTAACGAAGATCAACTGTTGAGGCTGTCCCTACAGCAAGTCAATGAGGGTAAGCACCTTTGAAAAAATTGTTCGAGTGCGGTAGCCTCTCGATTTTATCCACGTGCTCGCAATGAGAAAACTGTTCTCACGACAAATCCTGAAAATACAGCGTGATAAAGCTGAATGTAGAACTTGTAACAGTTACAGTAGGTATTGGTGACAAAGCTTCTTGAGAATCATTTCCAAAACCTCGTCTTCTTTGACTTACTACATTGTGAAGTGTATCCAACTTAACAATAACAAACTAACTTCCAAGTTTTATATAGTGTAACATACATATACATGTTATTAATATGAGGCAATGTGCTTACTTCCCAAGGTAACGCTGACGAGGTTACTAGCCAACTGATAGACATATCTACTACATCCGAAACATATTTACCGACAGACGTAAACCTGACCATCTACATATTGGAGGAACTTGTTAATCTCCCCAATACCCAAAACTCAAATAAAAGGGTGATCGATATTATACAAATTATGAGTAACTTGCTCGATTCGCCCGAGGCTGTATTGTCACAAGCGCAAACGGAATTCATGGCTCCCACAAGGTGAGCTACCTTTGGTATATGCTAATGAAGGTGGACAGGTGGATCAATGGATTAAGTGCGTGCAAAAGTATTGAGTCACATAGCCGCTGATCTTTTTTCATATTTTCATTTTTTTTTTAAATAATTTTGTAAAATTAAACTGTATCATAACATTATCTATTTTCTACATCGATCTGTTACCGTTTTCATGTAGATATTTTTCACACCTTATACGCGTTGACGTCATTTCATATGTGTCAGTGAGCCAATGGTTATCGAACCATTGCGCATGCGAAATACGTAAAAACAAGGCATATTGGCTTGCTCCAGTTTATGCATTTATTCCTTGATTCGCAGAATCCAAAAATAAGAGTAATGAAATGTATGATAGCTTTTTTAGCAATGAACTATACATGTTTTATTCCTCTAGATATCTACAAACTGTTGAAAAACTAATCAACGACGCGACACTGGCAAACCTGGATCTGAGAGCCGTCAAACCGAACCTGGCAGTGTTCACTCATAAGATACAACAGGCAAACTTCAGTGGCTATACTCTTCATGTCGAACACATTCAGCGTAAACAATTCGACCTGGATTCGGTATGTATGAATTACAATCTGTTATATATTGTAACTTATCTGTAAAGAAACGAAATACTTGATAATCAATGTTTTGATATATTCAGTGTATCAACCTATGCGAACATGTACTGTCGCTTGTATTGGCAATATGAATACCAAACAAGCAAACGTATGGATCGCGCAATGTAACATGACATTGATCACTGATAAATCAATCGTACATTTGTGCGGATATAAGCGCATGAGGCAAACGAGTGTTCGGCTGCACAGTTGTGTACATCTTATGTAAACTATTTTATCAATATGTGTGCACGGTATTTTTGTGTGTCATGCGGTCACACAACTGTGTTAAGAATAACATGTACCAAATTGTACGTAATTCACCGATAAATTTAACAAAGTTAATAAAAATTCTTATCATTACATTCGTAAAAGATCACGGAAAAATACACAGGTTGTCAATTTTGGATTTTGTTGACGTCTTTAGGTCTTATTATTTGACCAAGAACAACCCTTTAGTGGAACATCATCCCTCATCATCCCAGATACCCTGTTACATGGATTGACCACGAACGAACTAGAAAAAGTGTCCGGCATTTCGTTTGCAGTTTTTGTAAATGCAAAGCTATTTACGGTAAGTCACTTATCGTTTTTTAACACAACTACAATGTACAATTATGATTACATACAAAAAGCTTACTCTAATTTGCATTCATCTTCAGGTAGGAAAGGAGTAAGCACAACGTGTTCTACAAAATATCCATAAGCCCTAACGAGCTCAGACATATTCTTTTTCGTCCTATAATAAAGACTTTAGCTTAGGTCAATACAATGATTTATCAACCCTCAAAGGATCATATTTCCCTCAACCGGAACAGAACCATCTTAATCAGAGGCTTAACGTTCATGTTTCTTATTAAACAAAACAAAAGATGAAAATATGGATATTCTATATCAAATGCACATTTTTGTTTGTAAACATGAAGCACATTTTCTTTTCAAGAACACGCATATTAATTGCTTAATTGGATATTTTTACACAGGCAATATCAAACACGAAACCATTAACCAATGGCGATTCAAGTTTTCTGAGGACTCCAAACAGCTTAATAATAGCTGCAAGTGTTCCAAATGTTGAAATAACAAACCTATCAAATCCTATTATGTTCCGATTTGATCACATAAGTAAGGTAAGAATACATAGTGTAGTCCCAAATCCTTAGTTATTTTATAAACAACCTATTTGCAAGATGGGAAAAACCAACAATAAATAAATATCGTATAAACTGTAGTTCAATAGATCTTTAATATACTTCACGTACCTATTTATTTTACCGAAATATAGTCAAACATCTGGTGATGTATTACAAAACAAAATACTTTTGATGTTGTAAATGGAACAGTCTTTCTTTACATTTGTGTAGACGTAATACTGTCATGCATGGCGGTATATTGATTGATGATGTGTTACTCACATGGTAAATGTTCTCTGTTTTATGTAAACAAAGAATGCTAGGAATGCCTCATGTGTCTTCTGGAACCAAAGTGTTAGTGGGAAGAGTGCATGGTCAAACCAAGGCTGCCGCGTACAAGAGAGCGATGACAACTCCAGGACAATATGTCTGTGTAACCATTTCACCAACTTTGCTTTATTAATGGTAAATATTGATGTTAGTGCTCCTGTAACTACTAATGTTATCAAAGGTAATTGAATGTGATAAATGATTGGTTTAGATGTTGGTGTTTGTACTTAATTACCTTATCAATGGTCGATTAAGATGCTGGAGTTTCTGTACCTTATCACCATATCCACGAATGTATGTACCTAATCATTTTATCAATTATTAGTTTAGATGTTGGTGTTTGGTATCGAGTCACTTCATTAATGGTTGGTGTAGATGATGAGATGTAAGATCCACGGAAAACAATATTTAAAATCGATCGCCGTAAAAAAGGCATGTGTTCCGGACCGCGGCGGCACTTCTTATTTACATGTGTATATCAATTTTAAAGATGTCGTAATCACAGAATTTTAGAAGTCGACTTTCGTCAAATAACGTTCTGAAAGCATTTTCTTATAAGTACCATACATCATGTATTTCACTCAAAGTTCAGATGTAACTTAAAAGTTAAATATTACTGATTTGCATATTATGTATTTCCTGAAGAGAATCTAGCACCTAGCAATCTGGATGATCATCTTAACAAGAATACATTTCAAAACTGGCAACACAAAAGAATAATGGTTTTAATTTAAAAACCAAGGGATACAAAGGAGTGAAATATGTAGTGACACTTGACATGCCTCAAATTTATCAAATATATTTGTTTAGAAACATGTCATTTGATACCATGTTCATATGATAATGATTCGATCAATCTTTAAATTAGGTCGTTATGCAAAATGTCCATCATGAAAATGATGATATAATCAAATTGTATTAATACAAAACTATAGCCGATGATTGTTATGGGACTCAATAGCATCAGATAATATTTATATAGTGTTGTTTAATCACAAAAAGTAGTTCCAAGTGAAATTGGAACAGATGTAAGTAGTCCTTACCTTCTAAAGAAACATAGACATAAATACAAAAACACATCACTTAAACAAATGTTAACCATATGATCGTATCACCAACGTTATGATAACATTTGTTGTCACTGTTAACTAGGATATCTACGGTACTGGTGACAGCCTCAATGACATCCATAGACAGATCATGTCTCTGATATCCTACGTCGGCTGCGGACTGTCTGTCCTCGGACTGGTGATGACAATAGTGACGTTCTGTGTGATAAGGTAAGTCCTTTTAGTATGGTTGTTTGTGATCGGGAACAGTTATACACAACGTATAGTTAGCGATGACGGTCTTAACACTATGAAGATAACCATACTTAAAAAAACATTTGTACTTGTAAAAGGATTTCGGTTAGTAATTAAATTCGAAAACCTTTCACTCAAAGAAATTCGTATTTTATACTACGAGAATAAAGTGATCATAAATATAACTATGTATGATGACTTTATAGATAATCATACCCATGAATGTGGGTTATAATGTGAGTGTTGAAAGTTTATTTTGAATATATATAAGGTAACAAATATATGCAGGAGAAATAAATAAAATAACTCACTAAATAGATAAAAAGATAAAATCCATTAAAACATAAACTGATCGTTTGTATCAAAGTTGTTACGCTGAATACAATGTATATATCCTCAATAGTCTATTAGGTACAATCTGCATTACAATGTAGCTATAGAGAAGGAAACATTACAAAAGGTTAAATTTAATACTGAAATGGGATCGATATCTTAGGAAATGTGAACTCATTGTTTATTTCCTGTAGAAAATAATTGTTTTACACTTAGATATATATATATATATATTTAAAACAGAAAACTGCGCGGGACCAACCCTTCCAAAATCCTAATGAACCTTTGTGTAGCGCTAATCAGTACAAATTCAATTTTCTTGGTTGGACAACAACAGTACGTGCTTGACCATTCGACAGGATGCCAGGTTTGTGAGACAAAAGTAGCAAAACTACCTGATATTTATGTCAGAAACCTGACACATCAGTATTACATGCTGGATGCCAGGATTACGGAAAAACACTGGTATACAAATACCTACAAGATACAATTGTCATAACTAGTTCGAACACAGTGAATAAATATAGAAATTGATAAATCATGTAGGGAAGATATTTTGCTTAAAAATAAATAATGAAACACGATAAACAAGACTACTCCCATTGATTAAAGGTGTGGAGCTATTTTTTGATAATATCTTAAAGTTGACAATGTAAGGTATCTTAACGTTTTTACTATGAACATGGTTATACAGATTTGATTAGGTATATATTTTTTATCACATAATGTACTTTGTTATCCAGTCAATATACCTATGTCATATTTGTTTGCGTATTAACCCATGTAATATGATCAGCCCTGTGATTGGTTGTAAGTTTCAATTGTTTCAATTGTGATTTCACGCCAAGGACAAGTACATGATGTCATAGACTTACGTACTGTAGTCAAAATAGCGGCTTTTTTACATTTCAAGGATGCATGCAAATTGTCGTTTTGCACGAATATATGCCATAAATCTTGATTATGTGATAAAAAGGATCTTATACTTGTTTTCATTTCATATGAAATTTATGAAACTCATCACGAATTTTTCAATTAAGCTCGCCAGAGGTTCGCTAAATTAAAAAAAAATGACTCGTTTCATGTATCTTATTTGAAATCGAACTCATGTAGGATCATATATATTTTTTTTTAGATAGTGGCGTGTCTACAACATTTCTTCCTTCTCTCGGCAATGGCATGGATGGTCGTTGAAGCGTTCTACATGTACCTGGCTTTAGTGAAAATAATTCCCATGCATATTTCGAAATTCCTTTTGAAGTGCTGTGTACTGGGTTGGGGTAAGTGCCTCAGTTGCTGTGATTGACAAGGCATTCAATGAAAACAATGATTTGAAGACTATTTCCATCCAATAGTGACCACATGAATTTATACTTAAAACACACATCAAATACCTTTAGGAATATTGTAAATTGTACATCTGAATGATAAACCTATTAGCGCTTCTGTACATATGAATGATTAATCTATTAGCGCTTCTGTACAAATAAATTATCTAAACCTAGAAATAATTATACACATCTGAATGATAAACCTATAAATGCTTCTATACATATGAATTATAAATCTATACACGATTCTGTACATATGAATTATTAACCTGTTAGTGCTTCTGTTCATATGAATGATTAACCTATAAAAGCCTCTGTATATATGAATGATATACAACTAATAACGAGTCTGTAAATATTGATGAGGGCACACATAAGTCGCCATTTACGATACACATGCAGTGGTATACAACAGGTGTATTCTCTATATCTTCAATGTCCCATAAAAAGAAGACAAGGAAGAAACCACACCCAATTTTGCGGGGCCTCTTCAATAGTCGCCTCCTACGATCATGCAGTGAGATACAGCATGCCATTTTTTCCCCGAACCTGCACAGGTTCTTTACAAAACAGTTGACATGCAAACTCTTATGTACACGTAAATAATTGACGTACAAAATAGTGTACACACATACACAACTGTACAAAGTTATGTAAATATGTGACGTACACACGCTTGTGTACATGTTATTACTTTACATATAATCAGACACAGATTTACAATAAACTACTAACACAACTTTAAATATTTGTGGTACATGTATTCTATTATGTAAATGTAATACATATTCTGTTATCTAGGTGTGCCGCTCATAATAGTAGCTCTTACGATGGGGATCAACAACCAACACTATGGCCTTCAACCTGGGGAAATGTGAGCATACTACCTTTATGTATTGTAACAATAATGTATTGAAAAGGTACTTTTGTTTTATTGATCCAACGAAAGTCGTCAAACAATTGTAAAATCTATATCTAACCATTTCGTTTTCAATTTTAAAACTTTTTCAACTTATTTTACTATGCTAAACCAGTTCTCTGTTGCTTAACCTGTTTTTAGTATCATATCAAATAGTTTGAGTAGCTTTAACGATAAAAAAACACTATATTCTTTTATTTTATACGCACACAGATACCTCCCTGCTTTAACGAATATTCGACAATATCATTTAGACAAAGTTTACAGTAGCATGTATCTGTTAATAAACGTTAATATTTGATTTTTATTGCATCAGATGTTGGTTGGACCGGACTCCGTTATATGTGGCATTTGTGGCCCCGGTTATGCTGATGGTGGTGATCAACGGCGTTGTGTTCGTCCTGGTGGCACGTCAACTGTTAGGCGTGCATTCCGGCAATCTGTCAATTACACATAAAGCTAGCACGCTGACCAGACTCCGGCGAGCAGTAGCAGTGCTGATTCTACTCGGCCTCACCTGGGTGTTTGCCGTTTTTGCTTTTGAAGGTGCGGGTGGACTCGTTTTCCAGTATCTGTTCATCATCTTAAACTCGCTACAAGGCTTACTTATATTCATCTTCTACTGTGTCCTGAACAAAGACACACGAGACAACTGGATGAAAAAGTTTCCTTGTCGTACTAAAAAGACCGATACAGGCAGCACTCAGACAAGTAGAGGTATGCTCGCATTTCCTTAGAAAAATAATATGTATAAGCAAAGACATGTATCCCATCTGAAATTACACATACAAATATGTTTGTCTCTCTTTCTTGGCAAAAACATAAGGATGGATAACACCTCCTCTTCCTCCTCCTCCTCCTCCTCCTCCTCCTCCTCTGGTTTTTGAAGAAGGCAGATACGTAAGGTATGTTTCTTGTCCTCCTCCTCCTACTCTTCCTCCTCCTCCTCCTCCTCTTCCTCCTCCTCCTTCTCCTCTGTTGTTGGAAGAAGGCAGATACGTAGGGCATGTTTCTTGTTCTCCTCCTCCTCCCCTTCCTCTGGTGTTGGAAGAGGCAGAAACGTAGGGCATGTTTCTCCTTCTCCTCCCCCTCCTCCTCCTCCTCCTCCTCTCCTTCTTCTTCCTCCTTCCCCTTTAGTATTGTAAGTGGGCAGATACGTAGGGTATTTCTCTTGAGATGAAGTATTGAAAAAAGTAAAGATGTCTGTTTGGAAAACATTATCGCCTTTGTTCGAAGTGAAACAGTGGAGGTGTGTGTTTCTTGGTTTGAAGTACACACCAGTAAATGCGTGTGTCCGTTGTTTGGAAGTATAACAAATCTATGGAGATGTCAGACATGTGGAGATGAACGTCCCTTTTTGCGAATATAACAGACAAGCGAAGGTGTGGGTCCTTTGTTTAGAAGTATAATAGAGAAGTAGAGTTACGCGTCCCTTGTTTAGAAGTAAAACTGACACGTGGATGTGTGCGTCATATGTTTGGAAGTATAACAGACAAGAAGAGTCATTCACTCTTCATTTAGAAAGATCATGTAAAAGTAGATGTATATACAATGTATGTATGTTTCTTGCGTTGAAGTAAACAAGAACGAAGTCGTTAACAAGTTGAGCTAACTGTATAACAAAAATTGATTTAAAAAGAGCACCAACCCACTACCTTAATGTTAGCATAGTCATTCTTGATATCAAAGTGGATAAAAATTGGTAGAAAATGAACAAAGGAAATGCAGTTGTATACCGCATATAGATAACCAACGCTATTGTTATCTTTCAGACGACAGAGGAAAAAGGTATATAGTAGGTAAGTCGAAAGAATATTTGTGTTCGGGTGACTTACAATTAGGATATCAATCGTAAAAACATAGACTATAATGTCTTTAATAATGTGAACAAAACGTACAAATCTTGCAATTTTGTAATTAAACATGTATTTATGTTAAGATGTATTTCATTACAAATATCATTAGCATTTTAAATCAATTTGGACTTATCAAAGGCAGCGTGCCAACTGCCCTTTACATTGTTTTATATCTATCACATACATGTACATGTACAACATATAATATGACGAGGTTAAACGATACATTTACCTATGATATATATTTATATACAATACCTGAATAGTGATCGACAAAAAGTTTTCACTATCGACGGCATTTGAAGTATAATTGGTGTAAGTCTATATGAACATATACTTTATTTATGTGTCATTACAGCAAACGCTGCTTACTCATCGCAGGATAACTTGGGTGAGGCTAACTCAGGATAACTTGGCTGAAGCTTACTCAGGATAACTTGGCAGGAGCTAACTCAGGATAACTTGGCAGGAGCTAACTCAGGATAACTTGAGTGAAGCAACTGTGTTGTCAAATCTCGCAGATGAAGCAACTGACCCGTCGACAGAACTGGAGTGACGCAACTAAAGAATCGACCTTTAACCACATAAATATGATGTTGAATACTTCATAAAATAATACTGTTTTATCTCGCAAATGAAGTATCACTCAGGCCTTTATATATAACTTTTGCGTACAATATAATTCGCAGCCTGTATGTGCATCCTGAACTCATGATTGAAAATGTGTTTATGTGTTAATATGTATAACGGAACTATCTGTTTTTGATATGTTGCTTTGATTGTTTGGGCTAATGCTACCATAATTGAACAATGTTTTTTCTGATCAAGCGAAAGACCTAGATTCATGATACCACGCTGATAGCTTCCTGGCATAGAGCCTGAGAATGTCTGTGAATAAAAAGGACCTTAACAAGTATTAAAGGACACCGGGCCAAATATGAAAAATTTAAATGAGTTCTTTTGAAGAAAAGAATGGTCTTGGATAATCACATTTGACCAGTAGCATGCAAAGGAGAGGAAACGCTATCAAGTTTGTTAAAGCGATCATGAATGACTTTGACCTACTTTCATGGTCATTAGGGTCAACGGTGTAAAAACCTGTCGACGAATTCTTCTGATTTACCAAAAGTCACTGGGTGAGATGATACTTAGCTTGAATATTGAAGGTCACAGGGGTCAAAACTGCTATGATTTTAAATGATTTCTTTTGAATACCAAAATGCCTAAGATGATGATAAAGGGTTAAATAGTGTCTGTAAAGGAATGAAATTGACCGACTTTGTAGGTCATACGGTGCCAAATGAGTTAAAATCCTGAAATGGCTTCTTCTCAAATAGAAATTTGCAGGTAGCTTGCTGGGTTTAAGAGCTTCCAATTTTGTTCAATCATATGACCATATAAGACTTTCAAGGTCACTGGAGTCAAATTTGTTAACACTTTGTAGTACACTTTATTTTGAATAACTAAGGTTCATACATAGCATATATCTTTATATAGTCCACATATATATATTTTTTTACCTTGGTAAGTGCCCCGTTACCCCTCTTGCTTTTATTTCAATCACGATGCGTGCCTACTACATATTAATATGGTTTTTGCTGTCGAACCCATTTATATTGAACTCGGATACATCAAAATACCGCTTAATTTTAAGAGGAGAAAATCTTTTGCTGTTTTATATATTTACTTTGTATTTAAAATTATATTTGTTCATTCCTCGTTACCATAACATATGTTAAAACAATATCGATTAGAACGGTAGTTCATCTGGTTAGGACCAGTAGACAAAATGAATAGCACGGAAAGGAAATCACAGGTGTCAACAAGTGTCGGGGTGGCACGCGCTTGTTCTGGTTATGTCTCACTCGAGACGGTACTGTTATTGAGTAACTGGACACCAAAGGGTAAGGCATCCCCAGAGCCATCCTAAAAAAGGAAACAATTGATGGACAATCGTGCAAAATTATCAACAAGCACAAAATAACAATCCTGACAATCTGTTCGCTTCCTTGCGTAACATTGGTTGGTTTGTAATAAGGTCGCGATCTCGTAAACAGTCTTGTATGGCGGACTATTTTTCATTTGTGAGGATAACTGTATATACAATATGCAAGTTAAAAACAGGAGAAAAGCAAATTTAATGCTTATTTTGGGTTGTTGTTTTATATTACTTTATGGTCTACATCTTTTATATTGATATGATTAGAATTTATCATATATTTAATAATTTGTACGTTTGTATCATACTATATTATGTGTTTTTCATGAAATACTATGTCCTGTACATTTTTTATTTTTTATTATAGAGGATAACTTTTTTGCATGTCGTTTCGCTTTTGATGTATTCAAATAGAAAGAGAAACCTGTAAGTTCTTGTGTTTCTCAAATATGATGTAAAATGGAGATTATGGATTTAATGGATAATAAAAATACATATTTTTAGCTCTAACTTTTCTTTTTTTAATAAAATCAAGAAATGCGGACTATTGGATTCTTAGAAAGTACTTGTTTAACAATGCATTTATCGTAATGACAAATAGAATAATAGCTTATAAACTTAATTTTGTCGGGTACATTGTCCTCAAGAATACACATGTACCAAGGTAAAACCCTTTTGACATAATATTCATAATTAGCAAATTTATTTTGTGTTGTTGGTGTCTATAATTTTAGAAAATTTACTTTTCTTTGAATTCCTATGCCAGAACTTCATGACGTTGATCTTGAATCCGGCAAGTATTGCAACACATATTTGCTTAGGTTATTTCCCTTGCATCTGTTGATTTGTAATGATAACTAAACATGAAAACTTGCCTCTCTGACACAACCGGGATAACTGTTCTTTGCTTCCTTGATCAGTTTTTCTCAACCCGTGACATCGGCTAATTATACAAACAAGTTGATTTAAATGAATTTGACCTACGATGAAACATATATCATAGATATTATGTCATTCAGAACATCCAATCTGACAAAAACTGTGATAATCCCACCTCAGTAAATACATTTAATATTATCTGTAAACAGCTTCATGGATGGATGACAGACCGAAAGACAATAACATGAAATAAATTTGCTCACCAATCACTTTGTGGCAAGAGTATACAGAATTAATGGTGTATACCTGTTTGACTAGTATTAAACCAAACTTCTTACCAACTTAATCAAGAATATCATGAGTGCTCAAATTTCATGTGAATTTGTTCCCATCAGTTTAAACCACTTAAAACTCTTTCCTGTATTTGTGATTTGGTAATTTAATCAATTGCATTCAGCAATGTCATAACTTCCGGCACTCAAGGTAAAATGGCAGCTCAATTTTTTGAACGGATACATATTTTCAGCCAAATATCATGAATTATACGTTTCAAACTTCTTTAATGCCAACTGAAACATTTACAAACAAATATTCTATTCATTTATACTTTCTGTTTACCTCGATATTACGCTACTGTGCTACAATGGTGTTTGTTTTATCAAGTGCATGGACACGTAGTTCATTTGTCGGTGACAGTAGTAGCAGCAATAGTCACATGAATCTGTTAATAAGTGAAACCAACGTGATATATCCTACCGTGCATATGCACGTGTAGGTTTTAATATGTTGAAACATCTTCAAATTGTATAAGTATACTGATTCAAGCACATTTTTTCTTTTTAGTGAATTATTTGCGTGTCGTTTGAAAATAACCATAAACTCATTTGTCTGTGTTTTAGTTTTGCAAAAACTTATACCCCGATGAATTGCTCTCACGAGTTTTGTTTGTCAGCCTCACTGAGGTGAATTTCATATTTACGGATGAAGAAAATCCCCGAAGACACGTTTAAAATCAATTACATTGTGTATATTTTAATTTATGATCGTCATTAATTTGCGTTATTGCAATATTTACAATGCCGGAGTTAATTGGTGTTGCTGGATGACCTTTTGGAAGCTGATACAACACTCCAAACAACCACAAAACACCGAGTCCACCAGCCTATTGTGTTTTGACAATAACTTCACCTTGAGTAACCAAGCCAACCCTGTCCGTATCTTTCACACCTCTGCCTGCATCTGACTCACTTAGGAAAAAAACCTTACTTTTGTCAAACAGTAAACGGAAATCCCCAATAGTAATTAAATTCCTTTAGTGTATCCTCCTTAAATATTAGGACCTCGCTATACATCCCCAATTAGCGACCCCTCCCTGTAATAGCATTACAGTCTTAGCCACGGAACCAATGTGACAAACCAATTCACCTCAGTCATTAATATATATAAAATCCACAGGAGGAAATGGACAACGAAATACAATTCTAACAGAAACACAAATCGACTTGCGTGTTTCTTTTTTGCATTTTTGTCGATATATAGATAAGTTTTATATAATTTTTGATTCGGCAGAATACTCTACAAAACCCTATACAACATCTTATGTTGCTGTAAACCGACTTAATTTTACTAATATTCATGATTTTGATTTTTTTTTTCGCATGAATGACTAAAAATATGTATGACTCTAGAATTAGGCAATCAACTTTAGTTTTATATTTGACACATTTTTGTCCTTATTATTTATGGACATGTAGATCAAACTTCCGTTTGCAACCAGTCAAACCGCATGAATAGTGTTTTACCAGTGTCTTCTAAATGTGTATGTTAACAAATGTGCCATTTCAAGTGTTACATTATACGATTCAAGCCAAATTCACGATCCGGTATACTGATGCATCTATAAACATTTAATATCCCTCGCTAGAAGGAGAGGTGATGAATGTACTTTTAGTTCATTGATGATGACTGGAAACCTTACCCTTACACTTGCCAACATTAAGTAATGCCATCGAAAATTGACATTAAGTATGTAGTTGGTACCCTCATAGTATGACATTGTATAGATCACGGTATGGAACTGTCTTAAAACTTCGGTAGAGCTAGTAACCCAACTAAACATGGTGGTGTCTGTTTCACGCGGAGATAGTCAGCTGTTGTCTTCGTTGTGAAACAATAAAGGATAATGGAAAAAGAAAGTAAATGTTAGTGGTAGCTTCCATCTTTGTTCATCACTGTTGTATCTGCACGATCTCCTCAGCAGTAGCAGTTAAAACTGTCAGAAACAAATTCTTCCGTTGCATACAGGTGTTACGAGTATTTCGTATGTACCTGGAATGTTCGAGTGTTGACGCTTTGTTGGAATGTATGTATATTTTCATGTAGACATAGAGAATAACTATTGATTTGAAAAGTAACAAAAACCAAGAACGGAGGTGTTTGCACAAGCCTGACATCATGAGTATACAAAAGAAAATCGCAAAATTATGAGATTTTCATGTACACCCAACAGATGTTTTTGATGTATTTTTTAGTTGGCCTTACCTTTTTTTATTATTATTAGCTCACCTGCCCGAAAGGCAAGTGAGCTTATGTCATGGTGCGGCGTCCGCCGTCCGTCGTCCGGTGTCGTCCGTCAACTTTTCCTTTAAACAACTTCTTCTGAAGAACGAACAGGCCTAGAGTCATGATATTTGGCTGATAGCTTTGTTGATAGGAGCCTGACAAAGTTTGGGAGGAAAATGACCTTGACCTATTTTCAAAATCACAAGGGTCAAATGTGTCAAACTCTTCAAACGACTTCTTCTGAAGAACTGAAATGCATAGAATCTTCATATTTGGCTGGTGACTTCCTGGGATGGAACCTGACAAAGTTTGAGAATGAAAATGACCTTGACCTACTTTCAACGTCACAGGGGTCAAATGTGTCAAACTCTTCCAACGACTTCTTCTGAAGAACTGAAAGGCATAGAATCTTCATATTTGGCTGGTGACTTCCTGGGATGGAGCCTGACAAAGTTTGAGAAAGAAAATGACCTTGACCTACTTTCAACGTCACAGGGGTCAAATGTGTCAAACTCTTCAAACGACTTCTTCTGAAGAAATGAAAGGTATAGAATCTTCATATTTGGCCGATGGCTTCCTGGGAGAAAGTCCGACAAAGTTTGAGAATGAAAATGACTTTGACGTACTTTCATGGTCACAGGGGTCAAATATGTCAAACGCTCCAAACGCCTTCTTCTGAAGAACTAAAAGATATAGAATCTTCATATTTGGCTGGTAGCTTCATGGAATAGAACCCGACAAAGTTTGAGAATAAAAATGACCTTGACCTTCTGTCAAGGTCACAGGTGTCAAATATGTCAAAAACATCAATCAATTTCTTCTGAATGATCGAAGGCATACACTTATAATATTTGGCTGGTGGTTTCCTGGGAGAGAGCTCACTAAATTTTGCGAATGAAAATGACCTCAACCTACCTGAAAGGTCAACGAGCTCAACAACATTTTAAATTATTTCTTCTTATGAAACAAAAGGAATGGATTCATAAGATTTGGCTGGTAGATTTTTGGGATTACGAGGTCACAGGGGAAAATATGTCAAGAAACTTCTGAAGAAGAACCAAAAAGCATAGAATCTTATAATAATATTTGGCTGGTTGGTGGAAGGGAGAATAAAACAGATACAAGACTTTTGCTACAATAAAGGTGCGTGTTAATATTTAGCTTTCCCGTCTGGTCTTATATTATACACGTTAGACGCTAGGTATACACATACTTACTACAATGTATAACATATTCTCAGGTCACGTAGGGTTGATATGTGACACATCAACCTCGCAGATTCCATGTTTACTTATTCAGTTTATAATATTGAGATGCTGTTCCAGCAATAATAAAGCTATTTCAAAAGTTGAAATATAAGCTGATAACCACCGGATATTATCGGAGTTATAATCACACCTAGAACGAAAACAGCGGCCGACGTCGGCGGTTACGTAAATCATGAAAACCTAATAAGTCACATTTTTAAAAATGGATTAATCAGTGAAGACTGGAACTCTCCTGTGGGTAAGCCAATCATAAAGGGCGTCTTTAAACTATATGTTAATACTTGTGTATTGTATGTTTTTGAATGCTTAAATACCCATTATTTCAATTAGGATCATTATAGAAATCGCCGAGTGTACATACTAGATAAAGGATACAAAGACTTAATTGACGCAAGCATTCACAACGAACAATAGCTCTTGTGTGAGCTATCATTTCGACAAACTTATGTATATAATATAACAATAACATGATGTTATAGCAGATATGAGGTACTGTTATCACAGATGTTTTTTTCAGTTTCACTAAAAAGCAAATTGTACTATCCCATACAATGTATGTAGGTAAATGATTCATAATGATCGCACTATTTATGATAATAAAATCGCAGTGAAAAGGACTCGTGTCCTGATTTCTAATTGAAACGGAATCCCCTGCCTACAAATTAAAGGCCCCTGAGGGAAAAGGGTTTATACAATTTTAAACTGGTATGATAAAGAGCTAGTTGCCATGAGGCGTTCCTTACTAAGTTCATAGATGTGAAAATCAATACTTAACATAAAGTTAAAGTGTAATCCAAAGAGTGTATATATCACTACTCCTCCATTCTCAATGTTTATTTTTCCAATATTAGCATAGTTTAAAAGCATATGCAGATGTTTTCGCGTAGCTCAAATTCAGGATTGTCCGCCATTTGATTAAATTTGAAATTTAATATTTAATTTGCACAGTGTTTATCCAAATCTGTTTTTTAACTTGAGTATCACGAACAGTGTTTTCATGCGGATAAGTATATAGCCTGTATGACTCTACATCTAAAAATAACCCGTCACTTGGTTCTCTTTAAATGACATAGAGTGTGTATAATTATGGTAATTTAAGAAAACGTTATTGGACTGAAGTATGAATAACAACATGTGTACCCGAAAGAGAATCACAGTGTGGGGCAATATGCATTTCATGACGGGTCGTAGCAATGCTCTGGATTTAAACGGAACATTATCCTGTGGAGGCACTGAGTGAAGAGTAAGACCAACAGGTAAGAAAGTTGTTACCACTTATTTTTGTTATTCAATCTGTTTTCCGCATGATTGTAACAGTACACCAGTCTAATAAGACGATATGTTCCGATCGAAAACAGACGAAAAGTATATTTACTAGATAGTTATTTGCATCAAATACAACATCTGTATACGTTATGTATGAAAGGTAAGTTAGAAATATTGACCATATATCCTGAATTGACGTCTTCTCTGGAAAACTGGAATGAATAGCAGCCATATTTTGTTGGTTGCACTCCTGTGTGATACCAACTATAATTATGAAACGAAAGGGCTTACCTCGCAGAGTGCTGACGGTATATCAGTTCTCTAAGATATTATAAATCAATATGTTTGGCATGAAGAGCTGAATACAGGTACAGTTAGAATTACGGCTACATGTACCGGCACATAAACTGATACCTGGCCGCTATTCACCGATAAACCGATACCTGGCCGATAGCGGGGGATCGAATTTTACAGGTGTCTTAACGGGACGGGACTAGTGGTATTTGTCTGCTGGATAACTGAACTACTCGTAGTGAAGCGGATGTAAATCTTCTCAAATAAACAAACAAACAAATCTATTGTTACCAACCAGATTTATTCTGAGTCCGTAGCTAATCTTATGAAGCCGTGTGATATTTGCTATGTCGGATCAGTCTAAGAATCACATATATATTTATAGCTTTCTCTTATAATTAAAATGTTGGGAATGATACGATTTTTCTACAACATATTTATACGAATAAAACAGTCGGTTAATTTATTTTATAACAGAATGACCACGAATGTATAGGTATACATTGGTAATTATAACACGGCGTAAATTAACATGTAATATTATATAAGTGAAATGATTATTCAAAACGTGTCAGGACGGCGTATATATCCAATGTAGCACGTACACATTCCCCATGGCATGAACCGATCCAAGAAATCTGGAACTTAGGTAGAGAGTCTCACTAGTTTTCTACTTGTACATTCTTGTATTTAGTTATTGAAAGGTTGTAATTTCTTGGTCATACTATGTTTCCTCTTTTATACTATAGCAATTTTAATATGTGGTCAACGTGAAATTTCGCATGATGTTTGCACACACCGTTAATCCCGATATACGGAATTATTCGGTCAGTGATGAGCAATGCTATGTCGCATAAGCATATATTTATTTAAATGTCAGCTTTTACATATTTTACGCGGAGTTTTTACCAATAAGAAATATGACGATTATACATGTGTTCAAATATCACGTGAACAATACCAAAATATTGCAAATGACCACATAGTGCCACATTAATCAAACGATTTGTAGGATGATATCGTGATATTATCTTCCGCATATTGGCTTCCGGTTTGAAGAGAAAGGACGTATTTTGAAGAGACCGACGCCTGAGCGGATCCTTCATCATATTTAACATCAATATGAAGACACAGTAAGCCTGATACTAACATTTCTAACATTCAAGTGTGTGATATATATATACTAAAGAATATATATGCATTACAGTGTTCTATGATAATTTTCTGAACATTTTAATTGTCGGACCTTCACCTACTACAAAGCCGCCATATTGTATACCATAATAATAATGCAAGCCCTACTCGAAAAAGCGAGAGAAAGCGTAGCGGTCATTCCAGATATAACGGACCAAAGCTTGATAACTGAGGTTGTGGTTCAATTGATGAACAATTCTTACTTAAAACTATTGAGTAATGGTAACATCAGCTGACATCAGTAATTCCCATCGGGTTGGCCCGAAACCGCTGCATACCCAAGGGACATAATAGTACGCTTTATATCTTATGCCAACCGGGCTGAGGTGTATGATGGCCGATTTCAATTATTTGGTAAACAATCTGACAAATCCCCACATAAGGACTCATTTGCTGACGTACATAATGTGGTGCGTTCCAGGCCAAGTAAGGAGGGAGTGCGCATGCGCGAACTGAGTAGACGGAAAAATATCTGAGCAGATAAACATACGCTATGAAATCGCTGTTTATAACCTATTACTTTTCGTGAAGTCTTGTGAATCGGAGAGAAAAATCATCTTACACGCGAAACGAGTCAGTTTTTGAACTAGTTCCAGTAACAAATCGGGAGAATATTGCGATTTTTTACTGACAACATCGTGAGTGAAATCGCCATTTTTAAATGTCAATGAACAAATTGACGAAGTTTTTTCCAAGCCACAACCCACCCCAATCGGAAATAAGACGCGAACGGTGCTGTAAGAGCAATCAGGATCGGGAAATCGTGTGGTGAAATAGAAGCGGGAGGCGCTTTGAAGACGATTACGGCTGGACTAGAGAAACATTCGGAGATACAATATAAATACACAAAACTTTGACCAACCTGACTATATGTATGGCTCGGAACCTGTGATTTCACGAACAAGCAGGGGAAATACATTCTACTTAGAAGCCTAGACGGCTCAACCATCGACAGTGCTATCAGAACCATAGGTAAATTCGAGGACCTTATCAAACAATATCCCAGCTGTCGGATCACATTTCTGGAATTACCTATTTATTCCTTCAGGGATTGAAACCGCTGCAGGAACTACAAAACTCCAGATAGCTACCAGGAACAGAACACACAGTTAGAGGACCAGATATACACACTCAACGGTAAAATTAGGGAGATCAACACCAAAAACAATTGTCACTCACCAGCATTCTCCATAGACATTGTTAAGACATCGAAATTATCCGTATAGAAGAAAACTACAATTCGAAGGAAGTGGAAGTGTTGCCGGCACGTGCACCCACATAATTAAAGGGTGTCATCTTAAAATATCATGATCATCATAATGGCCATATGAAAAGCAGTATGCTTTAAGTTGCATGGTTGAGGGAGCTTAACATCCACACAACATCTGAGGTCATATGTGGATGGTATCATGAGTGCATGATACGTATTGTGTGAATAGAATTTGACATGAAGATCGATTTGACGTATTGATGTGGCAAGTGGTCGCGAAAAAAAATACAGTTACTAATAAGAATTTCCTATGTGCAAAGGGGTTTAACTCCAGAAAAAATAGAACATTGACACTGGATTCTAACTGACAAACTGTAATCCATTATAAATGTATACTTCGTAACAAATAATATGGAAAACAGTTAGTTATGAGAATTTCCTATTTGTTAAAGGGCCATAACTGCAGCAACACATGAAATATTGACACAGGGTTTGGACTCTAACTGTAATCCATTATGATAAAGCCACATACTAAGCGGTAACGAACAAAGTATGGCAAACAGTTAATTATGAGAAATTCCAATGTGCAAAGGGCCAACTTGATCTGTCATCTATTATGATTAAGCCGCATACAAAGCTACAAATTGATATGGAAAATGGTGTCAAAAAAAAGTCTGGAAAACTTAAATGTGACTGCCCCCGCCAACAACAACGTGTGATGAAGGACAGAGTGATCCTAAAGTGTTCGCCATGCTTCTCAGGCGACACGACAAAGAAAAACAGAACAGTGAGGAAAGAAAGTAAAGATTTAAGATCCTAAGTGTGTTGAAATGGGGACAGAAGATCTATTTTGGTCTGTTCAATGTCCCCCAAGTAGTAGACAGGAAAGAAAATCCCGATTCGTCAGGGGGCCAACTTTTACCTCATCACCTAAACATGACATATTTTATCTAAAAGGAAACTGGGAAGTTATAGAAGAAACAAACTATATCCGATATATAACAAAAAGGAATGTGAGGAAATTGGGTGAGGGACACAACTCACAGGAATATTATCAAAAGGAAGACAATCAATAATAACTGCACAAATGCTAAGAGTACACAGCAAGTGTTCCTAGTTTAAAACAGAGAGTATGAGTATTACTTGAAACAATTTTTAAATTATGTAATAAATAATTATCAGGGACACCATCTTAATGAAAATTAATTGATTGATATAACAGTCGAGATACATTAAAAATCCTCCCCACATGGAAAGTAAAACAAACATTACAGTGAAATGTTCAAACCTGGCCTGCATGGTATAAATATTCACCTTTTGGCCTTTTTTAACTTTCAGCTTTCTTGGTGAATTTTGTGCATTTTTAAATATCTTCAATTCTCATCAGATGTATATGAAGTGCATAACAAATGGAAAAATAAAAATATAATGATAAACTGCCTGAATAAGATGTATAGGAAAGCAAACAAAGGGGCACAACTCTTCGTGAAAATCCAGCCCTGAATTTCTGCCATTTCAAGGATGCTTCTACACCAAAGTAGATAACTTCGGTTACTTCAACTTCAACTTCTGACATGTCAACGACCCTTGATGAGACATATTTAGCTGTCAAATATAAGACCAAAAAATACTGCAGTACAGTTTTATGTCAACTTATGTTCTAGTGGATTTGAACATCACTGTAAAAATGAATGTTGAACAGATGTTTTTTACAATCCTTTTAATCACCGGTTTAGAGAATGAAGGGTTAATAGTTGTTTGTGTGATGTTTCGCGGATCTAAGAGATACATGACTATAACCTATTTTTTAAACACAGTATTCTTAAAGATTTGATTTAGGTTTCAGACTCTTTTCGGTTATCAGCATCTTTTGAGGAAACTCCATGTATTTGTAGCAGAAAAATGTCAACAAATAATATGAAGTGTAGTGCAGTGGATAAAGAAAGTTCAATTCCTGCTATATATTTGTAGTAAAGTTGTCAAAGATTCAGATATTTGGCAGACCTATATTATACATATGACTTAAAAGTGGTTGCGAGGATTTATAAAACCCCCAAAACAAACTGATTCCTATTCCTTATACAGCAAACAGTGTGGAAATACAGATGGACTGAAGGCATGTTGAAAATAACGTCGGGAAATTCGGGTAAAATGGACTTCCATCATCATTTTACATATTCATAATGTGTTTATACAGCCTCTCTTAAGAAAAACACATTCCATACATGTTTTCAGCCTGTGTTTGTTGTCATTATCTGTCCAGCCTGTAACATCTCATCTTTGCTATAGCCA